TCGCAGGCCTATCCCTCGCTTCCATCTACTTCCGCCGGTCCTCTTCTTCCAGGAAATTAAAAGAACACTATAGTCACCTAAACAACATTAGCTTAATGAAGCAGTTTTAGTGTATAGATCATGCTTCTCGAGTTTTACTGCTCAATTACCAGAAATTTAGGCGTTAAGTCACCTCCCCTGGCTCTGGTTAACACAGCTTGCATGAAAAGAAAAAATGATTTCACTTTCAATCAGATGTAATTTACCTTAAACAATTGTATCTCTTTTTCTGTAAATTCAACTTGAATCACATGCAAGAGGCTCTTGCAGGGTATAAGGAAATCTAAATTAAACAGAACTTGCAATAAAAGAAGGATAAACTGTAGATGACTCTTTATAGGAAGTGTTTAGGAAGGCTATGCGACTCACATGCAGGGAGGTGTGACTAGGGTTCATAAACAAAGTGATCTAACTCCTAAATGGCAGAGAATTGAGCAGTGAGAATGCAGTGACATGATCTATACAGCAAAACTCACCAAAAAACAACAAGGGAAAATTTCAGATTTATCAGGTGTCTATCCCTTTAAACCCTCAATTTCCATGAGTGTAGCGCTTAAGTATAAATTTAACAATTGTGAATATACATATGTAGTGCCAAAAAAGCACTTACCATCTATACAATGCTTATATTCCCATGTATATAAAATAGAAAAGAAATATATACAAATAATAGTGCAATATGTCTGAAAAATTAATGTTTAAATTATACGTGTGAGTTGTAACGTAAATTAACTCACATTTTTTAGAGCCTTTTCCAGTGGTAAGGCTCTAAACTTCCAAGAGTCTGTGTCTTTTGGGTAGACCACACAACCCCTCTCTCTCAGTGAAGGAACGTCTGTTACTCTCCAGAGTATATAAGATGAAACAGAGAAAGAAACGTCCGAACTAAATGTTTTGGTGTATAGAGTGTGCACACACAGGTTGTGGAAAAATGGCGCTATAGAATTGTGATGTTAAAGTGAATTTAGCTGCTATACACTCTGTGGGTACTCCTAAAGACCCAACACACATAGAAATCACCAAAAAACAACAAGGAAAAATTTCAGATTTATCAGGTGTCTATCCCTTTAAACCCTCAATTTCCATGAGTGTAGCGCTTAAGTATAAATTTAACAATTGTGAATATACATATGTAGTGCCAAAAAAGCACTTACCATCTATACAATGCTTATATTCCCATGTATATAAAATAGAAAAGAAATATATACAAATAATAGTGCAATATGTCTGAAAAATTAATGTTTAAATTATACGTGTGAGTTGTAACGTAAATTAACTCACATTTTTTAGAGCCTTTTCCAGTGGTAAGGCTCTAAACTTCCAAGAGTCTGTGTCTTTTGGGTAGACCACACAACCCCTCTCTCTCAGTGAAGGAACGTCTGTTACTCTCCAGAGTATATAAGATGAAACAGAGAAAGAAACGTCCGAACTAAATGTAGTATTTCAAAATACCAATGTGTATCAGTATAAATGAAATCCAGAAAAGTGCTCACCTTATTTAGAGCCTTTTTAACTGGCTCTAAGTATATAGGTTCAGTGTCAGTTTGTAGGGTGACACTATCCCTTTCTTGAATCACTTGTACAGGATGCAGGAAGTGAAGTATATAACAACTATGTTTATTATCAATATTAAAATGTATACAAACTATTATAAAAACAAAAAAAATATATAAAAACATATATAAATAATACTAATGTATTGAGGGGTCTGGCATAGGTCCACTTGCAGCTGCAAGTGGACCTATACCAACAATTGGTATTTTGAAATACTACATTTAGTTCGGACGTTTCTTTCTCTGTTTCATCTTATATACTCTGGAGAGTAACAGACGTTCCTTCACTGAGAGAGAGGGGTTGTGTGGTCTACCCAAAAGACACAGACTCTTGGAAGTTTAGAGCCTTACCACTGGAAAAGGCTCTAAAAAATGTGAGTTAATTTACGTTACAACTCACACGTATAATTTAAACATTAATTTTTCAGACATATTGCACTATTATTTGTATATATTTCTTTTCTATTTTATATACATGGGAATATAAGCATTGTATAGATGGTAAGTGCTTTTTTGGCACTACATATGTATATTCACAATTGTTAAATTTATACTTAAGCGCTACACTCATGGAAATTGAGGGTTTAAAGGGATAGACACCTGATAAATCTGAAATTTTTCCTTGTTGTTTTTTGGTGATTTCTATGTGTGTTGGGTCTTTAGGAGTACCCACAGAGTGTATAGCAGCTAAATTCACTTTAACATCACAATTCTATAGCGCCATTTTCCCACAACCTGTGTGTGCACACTCTATACACCAAAACTGTTTCATTAAGGTAAAGTTGCTTTGGTGACTATAGTGTCCTTTACGCAATAGATCAACCCAGTGTCTAGAAGTTTCAGGCGTGGGAAAAATACAGAGACAAAGTAGTCCCTACTTTGTCTCAAAGGATCTCTTAACTGGGTTGGAATTTCAGTGAAATTCTAACACAGTCAATATGAGTATTTCATAAAGCATTTCTATACCACTTCTTCATAGTCGTTGCTCAATGGCAAGGGTTTTATGTATTTAAAGTGACTTTTAACTGCCAAAACCAAAGAAAAGTCTCTTTTGTTGTCACCCACTCTGTGTATATTTATATTAGTTTATATAATAACTGGCCAAATACATATCACTTAATTAATGGCCATACTGTTCTTCAGTCGTTTAACTAAAAATCTAAAAAATATGTCAGAGATTTGTCGGAGCTGCAGTTTAACAGGAACATATTTTTTTTTTCTCATTCTGATAACTGGGTTACTAGAGAATAGGTTTATCCGTTTTATTTGTCATCCAGCAATACACATCTCTGCAGAGTATAACTTATAGTCACGGTCATTTATCAAAGTGAGAATTGTTGGGAATTTTAAATTTAAAGCCAAACTGGAAGCAAAGATGTCTTGGAGAATATTTTCCAGTTCAACTATTTTGGCCTTAAATTTAAAATTCACTTAGAATTTCCGACAATTAGTGAATAACCCTATGTGGACAACTCTGCTGAGCATGGCTGAAAGCCAATCAATGCATTGCCTGGCATCGCATTACTCATAATCATCACTTAGTGAAGGTCTGCATGCATAAGCAATATATTAACTCATGGTTTACCTTTGCAAAGCCTAACTAAAGTGAATCCAAGGCATCCGTAATCATGTCAACTCAATGAACAGCTCAGCAGAGCATCACCAAAATATATTACATAAATGCCGAGTATAACTTTTATCACTCAATCAACACGTGCACGTTATCACCAATACTGGGCCTTACAACTAAGCAGAACATTACTAACAAACACAATTCTGTAAATCATCTTAAATACGAATTCTATTACTTTAAATGTATTTAAATAGACAAAGATGGACACAATAAAGGTTACTCCAACCTTTTAAAAGAAATGTTTTAATTTACTGTACAATGCCCTAACAGCATTGCTAACTAGGTGTCCCAACCCCCCTAAAATGCAGGATCAAATTCTAAAATATACCTTCAACCCTTGTCACAGACTCCCTTCTGTGATCCAATCAAATGCTTCTCAAACAGAAGCATTGGATTAGACCATTCTGACCGGTTTAGAGCACGTGTGCACTCCGAGCCGGTGAGGGGGAAGTGGACTGGTGAGCAAAGTGCACACAGATGATAAATGTATTTTATGCACAGAATTGACTCTAGCAGTGCGGAACAGACTGCTGCCCAAGTCATATGTGCACATAATTTAAAATGTCTATAGATGTCCTGTGTTTCAAGTGGAAACACTGCACATAAAGACTCCTACCACCATGACCACTTCAAAAAGCAGATGTGGTCATTGTGGTTGGAGTGACCCTTTAATTTTAACTATGCCAGTAAGGGTGTTGCCAGGGGGGCGCTGTTCCAATTATATTTTAGTTACACAAATTGTTAGTAGTGAAAGAACAATTAATCTTTTTTTATACAGTCTGATTTCTAAACACATGTATTGTAGTTTAAAGGGACACTATAGGCACCCAGCTCGTGGTCTGGGTGCAGTGTCCCTGTCCCTTAAACCCTGCATTTAAAACGTAATTTTAGAGAAACGGTAAATGTTTACATTGTAGTGCTAAGACAGCCTCTGGTCTTAAATTCCGTGAGACGAGACGTCCTCACTCTTTGCATCTGGTAAATCCTTATAGGAAAGCATTGATTCGATGCTTTCAATACGGGGAAAGCCTAATGCGCATGCATTACATGCACATTTGGTTTCACCATCGCTGATGTTGGAGGAGATGGAAAAGGAGCCAGTGCCGAGGTTTGTGAATAAAGGTTATTTTTAACCCTTTCCCTGCCACAGGAGTGAGTTTTGCATGGGCAGAGAGACACGGTATTGGGAATTCAGCTTTGTATTCATAACACTATAGTGTTCCGTCCGACATTGTTGAGAGTATTATTGATGTGGATCTTGACACCAAGAGTATAGTTATGGAGCTACTAAAAAAGAGAGATATTAGGACAGAGGATTTGGGCCAAAAATAGGGACACTTTGGAGGTATGCGATTCCAAAACTCTATAAGACATCACTGAGACTCACTCACGTAATACACTGCAGAGCACCACCAAGGCCAACTCCTTACACACACCAACAGTACATTAATAATACAGTACTGCAGAGTATCACTCACACCTGTCCATGTGGCATCCCTGCAGAGTATCACTCACACCTGTCCATGTAACATCCCTGCAGAGTATCACCATGTAACCCCTCACCCCATGTCCCTGTGTGACCCAGCCTGTCAGCTAACCCCATCGTGATGCACAGTGCCCCGACCCCATCAGTGCACGACGAACAAACCCCGAGGACGACACGAACCGCCCACACGATGGTGATTGGACGGCATGATGTCGATTCTGATTGGTTGCCATCTGTGTCAATCAGTTGAGGTCGCGCTGAGTGACACGTTGGCCCCGCCCCTCACCATGTGACTATCACACGGCGGGTCCAGCTGGGGAATGGAGAGACCGGCAGGTGAGAGAGAGGAGCTGGGGGGGAATGGGACATGCAGCCACTCACACCATGCTCAGCCAGCATACAGCCACTCACACCATGCTCAGCCAGCATGTCTGGAGGGTGTCGTGGCACATGCAGCCACTCACACCATGCTCAGCCAGCATGTCTGCAGGGTGTCATGGGACATGCAGCCACTCACACCATGCTCAGCCAGCATGTCTGCAGGGTGTCATGGGACATGCAGTGGGCAGCAGCTGCCGATGGAGCACAGTTTCTCCGAGCTGTAATGGATTCAGATTAGTGCAGGAAGGGATATCTGATCCGGGAATACCAGTCACAGCCTGGAGGTCCATTTCAACTCACTACAGCTCGAGCTTACATGGACACTACAGACATCCCAAACAACTTCAGCTTCATAAAGCAGTGATCATACAGGGAGTGCAGAATTATTAGGCAAGTTGTATTTTTGAGGATTAATTTTATTATTGAACAACAACCATGTTCTCAATGAACCCAAAAAACTCATTAATATCAAAGCTGAATATTTTTGGAAGTAGTTTTAGTTTGTTTTTAGTTTTAGCTATGTTAGGGGGATATCTGTGTGTGCAGGTGACTATTACTGTGCATAATTATTAGGCAACTTAACAAAAAACAAATATATACCCATTTCAATTATTTATTATTACCAGTGAAACCAATATAGCATCTCAACATTCACAAATATACATTTCTGACATTCAAAAACAAAACAAAAACAAATCAGTGACCAATATAGCCACCTTTCTTTGCAAGGACACTCAAAAGCCTGCCATCCATGGATTCTGTCAGTATTTTGATCTGTTCACCATCAACATTGCGTGCAGCAGCAACCACAGCCTCCCAGACACTGTTCAGAGAGGTGTACTGTTTTCCCTCCTTGTAAAACTCACATTTGATGATGGACCACAGGTTCTCAATGGGGTTCAGATCAGGTGAACAAGGAGGCCATGTCATTAGATTTTCTTCTTTTATACCCTTTCTTGCCAGCCACGCTGTGGAGTACTTGGACGCGTGTGATGGAGCATTGTCCTGCATGAAAATCATGTTTTTCTTGAAGGATGCAGACTTCTTCCTGTACCACTGCTTGAAGAAGGTGTCTTCCAGGAACTGGCAGTAGGACTGGGAGTTGAGCTTGACTCCATCCTCAACCCGAAAAGGCCCCACAAGCTCATCTTTGATGATACCAGCCCAAACCAGTACTCCACCTCCACCTTGCTGGCGTCTGAGTCGGACTGGAGCTCTCTGCCCTTTACCAATCCAGCCACGGGCCCATCCATCTGGCCCATCAAGACTCACTCTCATTTCATCAGTCCATAAAACCTTAGAAAAATCAGTCTTGAGATATTTCTTGGCCCAGTCTTGACGTTTCAGCTTGTGTGTCTTGTTCAGTGGTGGTCGTCTTTCAGCCTTTCTTACCTTGGCCATGTCTCTGAGTATTGCACACCTTGTGCTTTTGGGCACTCAGTGATGTTGCAGCTCTGAAATATGGCCAAACTGGTGGCAAGTGGCATCGTGGCAGCTGCACGCTTGACTTTTCTCAGTTCATGGGCAGTTATTTTGCGCCTTGGTTTTTCCACACGCTTCTTGCGACCCTGTTGACTATTTTGAATGAAACGCTTGATTGTTCGATGATCACGCTTCAGAAGCTTTGCAATTTTAAGAGTGCTGCATCCCTCTGCAAGATATCTCACTATTTTTGACTTTTCTGAGCCTGTCAAGTCCTTCTTTTGACCCATTTTGCCAAAGGAAAGGAAGTTGCCTAATAATTATGCACACCTGATATAGGGTGTTGATGTCATTAGACCACACCCCTTCTCATTACAGAGATGCACATCACCTAATATGCTTAATTGGTAGTAGGCTTTCGAGCCTATACAGCTTGGAGTAAGACAACATGCATAAAGAGGATGATGTGGTCAAAATACTCATTTGTCTAATAATTCTGCACTCCCTGTATCTCTACAGCAGGGATAGGCAACCTTCGGCACTGCACATGTTTTGGACTACACCTCCCATGATGCTTTGCCAGCATTATGGCTGTAAGAGCATTGTGGGAGATGTAGTCCACAGCATCTGGAGTGCCAAAGGCTGCCTACCCCTGCTCTACAGTCTCACTGCTCAATTCACTGCCATTTAAGGCATTAACCCACTTGCGCCGTTAGGAAGTATCATTATGTCACTAAAGTAATGGGCTGTAACGACGTTAGGGCGTAATAACACGTCCTAACGTCTGTACCGGTAAAGGCCCTCTGATATATATTATACTTATCTCGTCACTTCTGATCTGGGGGCTCCCTGAAATCAGAGACTGTCCCTGCCCCCTCCCACAGCAGTGCCCACAAGTATAGACACATATTCAGAAAGGCGATTTCCGAAGTAGCAGCTGCTCACTGTTAACAATTTAGCTGGGTGGGATGGTAGATGGCTACTGCACCATGACATTTAAAGGGACACTATAGTCGCCAAAACATTAGCTTAAAAAGACATTGTAGGCACCCAGACCACTTCAGCTCACTGAAGTGGTCTGGGTGCCAACTCTCATCATCCTTAAAGGAACACTATAGTCACCTGAACAACTACAGCTTAATGTAGTTGTTCAGGTGAGATCTATAGCTCCCTGCAGGCAATCTAATGTAAACACTGTATTTTCAGAGAAAATACAGTGTTTACATTGATTGATAGGAATACCTCCAGTGGCCGTCACTCAGGCAGCCATCAGAGGGACTTTCTATCATGTATGGCCCTAAAAAGGCCATGTACACGTCAGACGTCATAAAATACGTCTGACGTGTGCAGGAGAGAGAAGGCACTGTGCCCGCCCCCTCTCCTTTGCTGACAGGCAGGAGAGAGAAGGCGCGCACAAAGACCGCGAGCTGAGCTGTCAGTCAGGACTTCATAGGGCATGAATGCCGCCCTATGAAGTATGTGTGGCAAAGCCGCGCATGCGCACAAAGGAGCAATGACGCTTCCAAATGGAAGCATCTGATTGCTCCCTGCTCGCGCTCGCCTATTTCGTCGTTTTTACGAAATAAGGGGCACGGCTTCACAAGGCTCCCGGCGCTGGAACCAGGTCAGTAAAAACGGCTGCCTGGAGAGTCCCTTTAACCCTGCAAGTGTAATTATTGCCGTTTTTATAGCAGGGTTAAAGGGACTCTCCAGTGCCAGGAAAACAAACATTCAGTGACTTACCTGTATCCAGTGCCGATGTCCCTCGGCGCTAGTTCAGGGTCCGCCCATGCTCCTCCAACGCCGACTTCATCCGACAGGGGAGACCTATTGCGCTAGAGTTGGAGTTAACCCTGCAAGGTAAATTGCAGTTTATGAAAACTGCAATATTTACAGTTGCAGGGTTAAGGGTAGTGGGAGTTTTCACCCAGACCACTCCAATGGGCAGAAGTGGTCCGGGTTGCCTGGAGTGTCCTTTTAAGTCCTCCTCTAGTGGCTATCTTCCCAATGGAAGCCGCAGACTAAACCGGAGATTCTGGGCCATAGCTGACTGACACATGACTGCAGACTTTGAGGCTAACTTTGGTTTAGCCCCTTATGGTAAATCGCACCAGGAATCTCCTGCCACCGTAACAACTACATTCTGATAATGTATATTATGGAGGCTAAAGTGTCCTGGTGCTGTTATTACTGAATTTGTGTATTTTGGGTAATGCAGACACAAGAAATTTAATTTAATTACTTTTTGCATTGCTATGCATTTTTTTTGTTTAATTTTGTACCTTTACTTTTTACAGCTTTACCAAGCTCAGTGAACCTAAACAATGGCATTACAATGCCACTTCTTGGCCTGGGCACTTTTCGCTTACGTGAGCTCCAGAATATCACCAAGGCAGTGGATGCTGCCCTAGCATGTGGCTATCGCTCGTTTGACACGGCCTGCGTCTACCGAAACGAAGCAGATCTGGGTTGTGCCTTGCGCCAGCTTCTGCCTGTTCACGGATTGACACGCTCCGATATTTTCATTACCAGCAAGTTGGCACCTGCTGATCTAGGTCAGAATGCACGGGAAGCCTGTCTGCAGAGCTTGAAGGAATTGGGGTGTGAATACCTGGACCTTTATTTGATACACTGGCCAGGCAGGCAAGGTTGGCGGAGTGACGATGCCCGAAATGTAGAAGCAAGAAAAGAGGCTTGGAAAGCCATGGAAGACCTATATGATGCTGGCCTTATAAAAGCAATTGGTGTATCCAACTACACAGAACATCATTTGACACAACTGCTGGCATCATGCCGTGTGAAGCCTGCTGTGTTGCAGGTGGAATTTCACCCACAGCTCCCACAAACAGACCTGCTGAGCTGGTGCACAGAGAATGAGGTCCATCTGCAAGCTTATTCCTCCTTGGGGTGTGGGAATTTGTTGGGAAAGGAGGATGTGAAGAAGGTAGCAAATGTTTACAGGAAAAAACCCTCACAGGTACTCTTACGCTGGGCACTAAGGCAAGGTGTTGGGGTTATTCCAAAATCCTCCGATCCTGAGCGAATAAAGGACAATTTTGATGTTTGGGACTTTGACCTTATGGAAGAGGATATGCACGAGTTAAGAATGGATGGCAAAGAACACAGATACTGTTGGGACCCTACAGGTGTTGCATAGTATAAACCGCAAAAACTAGCACCACAATGTGTGATCTATAAATTATATCTAAACATTATCAAGTACAAGCCCCTGTAACTAACCTGGTATCTGTATTTTGTATGAAATCTCTGTGTACAGCTACAATTACAATACTGCTTTAAAACAGGGCGTTATTAAAGGACCACTTTATGTGCTTTATGGATGAGGAGTATCCCGTTAAGACATGCTGATGAATTGGCACTTTTATAAATAATAGAAAACCCCACAGCTGTCAATGGAACATCCAGGGAGGTTTATCTCTAATACTGTTAGAAGCTATGAGCTAACAGAAGTCGCAGACATGTTCTACTTGAGCGTGCCTGCCCTCACTCCTGGTATACGCGATTGTCAGGCGTCAGATCAGAATGCAGTGAACATGCGTTTGTTAGCCTTTTCTGGGCGAAAGGAGAGGTCTTGCAAAGTCTGCAGTTCAGAAGAACTCTAGCAGCTCTTTTTTTTTTTTTTTTATAATAGTTTTTATTTTCATATTTTGCAAGAAAGTAAACAATGGGAGGGTTACAGAAGAAAATAGAGGAGGGATAATATTGCATATTGTGATACATAGCAACTTTTCAAAGATTTACACAGCATTAGTAATAAAACTGAATTTTATGTGATGTTGCCTTCTGTGGTCGATGTTGAATTCTGGGTTATGCAACATATCCATAATAGGGTGGAGAGGGGTAACATAGTAATACATACATGTTAGAAAACATAAACGTATTTACAGCCTATGGTCTGATTGTGTTTCATCATGTCTCTCTTTTGGCTCAGCCTTCGTCATGTCTATTGAACGGGTCTATCTTATGTTTAACTGGTGCCCTTTACATTGGTTCTGGGTTACATAACTGTTCGTGTGGCAGCTGTAGCTTTCTAAACTCTTGCTTTTCGGTTAGATCTGTGTGTTGTTCCCTGTCATGGGATTTTTGCTTTGTCCCCTGTATGGGCTTTATCTATGTGGTTTTGCCACATGGTGTACGTTAATATATTTGTGTGGCCCGTACGGCCTTGAATCCCTGTGCAATCGTTCGTATGATACATTTGTAGAAATTAGGTCTAATATCTCCTGTTTGGAGGGGATCACAGTCAATCTCCAGTTTCTTGCTATTATGGTTTTCACTGCTATAATAATATGGTATACCAGTTTACGAACATGTTTTGGAAGGGTCTGTGGTATAATGTGGAGTAGGAACGTTTCTATTGATACTGGAATCCATGTTCCAGTGCTACTTTTTATTATGTTTGCCACAGATTCCCAGAGTGGGCGAATTCGCGGGCTCGTCCACCATATATGAATTTTATCACCCAGTGAACCCTGGCATCTCCAACATTTGTTGTCAACCGTTTTTCTTTCGTGTGTCTTTCCACGGCACTCAAGGCTGCTAGAGCCAAACAGGCTCTGGCCTATCAGGAGTCTCAGTGAAACTTCAGATATCTGCTAATACAAGGAGTTAGTGAAGGACAATCCTCAATTTATGCATTGCAGAACGTATGGGAAGTGATCTCAGATCACTTCTTCCCAGTACTTATGAATGGGAATCCACACTGTAGTAGAGCAGCCCGCAACTGCTGTTGCAGCTCCTGTCCTAGACCTGTACCTGGTCAGCCTGTAACCCAGGGAAGCCACCCACACTGCTAGATATACACAGACCTGCAGAATAAGCCTCCCCTCATACAAATAATATGAACAGCCCACACACAAACATACACACAATCCCCACTAACGCAACACCACTAACAATCCACATACATGCACATAACCCCACATGCAGTGTCTCACATGCAATACACCAAAAAGCCCCCACACACAATGTGACATATCCATCCACACACAATTCCACAAGCAGCCCTCATACACAGCCCACATTCATATGTATCATACATGATACCATAAACTACTAATGAACATATACAATATAATAGCTCATATACGCACAAATACAACGATACAAAGCAATTACAGTAAAAATAACACAAGCAGAATGCGGCAGCATACACACCTCAATTTAAAAAAAAAAATAGGATTGGCACGCTACGGAACATCACAATCAGTGGTGTATCCTGGTTTTGTGCTGCCCTAGGCAGGACAAAACTCAGGCGCCCCCATGCCCCCGCGCCACCCCCACCCAACCCTTCCCCCCACCCCACCTTCTAAATACACACACAGTCAGACACATACACAGACACAAACACAGTCAGACACAAACACACACGCAGTCAGACACACACACAGTCAGACACATACACAAACAGTCAGAAACAAACACACACTCACAAACAGTCAGACACAAACACACACATACAGTCAGACACAAACACACACTCACAAACACACAGTCAGACACACACAGTCAGATACATACACAAACAGTCAGACACAAACACACTCAGACACATACACAAACAGTCAGACACAAACACACTCAGACACATACACAGACACAAACACACACACTCACAAACACACACACACTCACAAACACAGTCAGACACAAACACACACAGTCAGAGACACACACACTCACAAACACACAGTCAGACACAAACACACACAGTCACAAACACACACTCTCAGGCTGACAACACTGCACACACTCTCTTTTACACATCCAAACACGGTCAGACACAAACACACACAGTCAGACACACACACACATTACCTTTTTTTTTTTTTTTTTTTTTATTTAAATCCCCCAACCTTTGGCTTTGGTGACGGGCTGGCAGGAGGCGGAAGCTGGCGGGGGAGCACTTCCTATGAGCTGACTGCTCAGCTCCCTCGCGCGGCTGCAGAGTGAGGCTGGGAGCCGGAATATGACGTCATCTTCCGGCTCCCAGGCTCACTCTGCGGCGCGCGAGGGAGCTGAGCAGAGAGCTCATAGGAAGTGCTCCCTCGCCAGCCGCCCGCCCGGGATGTCAGTTAGCCGCGAGGCTAACTAGGCATTTGCCCTGGGCATTTGGGGGGTGGCGTTTTTTGCCGCCCCTTGAAAAATGCCGCCCAAGGCAAATGCCTTGTTTGCCTCGCGGCTAATACGCCCCTGATCACAATCCTATATCGGCACAGTGCTACTAAAAGGTTGCCTACCCCTGACCTATATAATAGTTTCCTGGATGTTTACAGATGTGAGGCACACCTCCTTACGCCCTTGTGAGCTGTAAATGCCATGCTCCATTCTTGAGGTGACAAAACTCTCCCCAAGTCTTTGTGCCATTCCTTCTGAAATCCCCAGAGTAGTGATTGTGTTTCCCCTATAAGCGTGTTGTAGCAGAATGAGAGGGTTTTTGTCTGTTGTCTCAAGCTTATACATTTGTCTTCAAAGTGTGTAATGCGCGCCTCCCCCCCTTTTGTCTTAGTGTAACCGCCATCTGTTTGAATTGTATGTTGTAGTTGCATGTATGAGAATTTGGCTTTGGAGAGGATCTTGAATTGTGTCTGTAATTCTTTGAAGCTTTTGAGGATGCCTTGGTGAACCACCTGGTGTAGGTGGGTTATGCCCTGTATTGTCTAGCAGCTCTTTTAAACACCTCCCACCCCCTCATGGATGCATGTATGAAAAATGCATGTGTGTGTTCATTGGAGGTATATCTACTAAACAGTGAATTCTACCTTTTTGCCCATTTGAACAGTGGCATGTTCCTTTAAATGAAGTGGGAATTCAAAGTGAATATCAAATTTAAGGTTAAAATAGCCAAACTGTAAAAATTCTCAAAGTCAGATTTTCTTTCTGTTCGGCTACTCTGGTCATAAATTTGAAATTTACTTTGAATTCTCACTTTAGTAAATAACTCTTAAAAGTATCAACTGATCCACAACCGCTCTACTCATGAGTTCTTGGCAGTTCCAAGTCTTCTCAGAACTGTGGAAGTGACCACCTGGGGTGCAATTTGGAGCTTTATAGTACTAACATATATATTGGGGCACTATTAATTAGATCTCCCCCTACTCTTTGCTGTAAAACCTAAAGAGGGAAAAAAAACAAAAAACCTGCCCCTTCTAATGTCATCCAGGACCTGAAGTGGTCATGGTGGGTGGAGTAGCCCTTTTTATTTATAGTATTTAAAGGGACACTATAGTCACCAAAACAACTTTAGCTTAATGAAGCAGTTTTGGTGTACAAATCATGTCCCTGCAGTCTCACTGCTCAATTCTCTGCCATTTAGGAGTTAAATCATTTTGTTTATGAACCCTAGTCACACCTCCCTGCATGTGACTTGCACAGCCTTCCTAAACACTTCCTGTAAAGTCATCTAAAGTTTATCCTTCCTTTATTGCAAGTTCTGTTTAATTTAGATTTTCTTTTCCCCTGCTATGTTAATAGCTTGCTAGACCCTGCAAGAGCCTCCTGTATGTGATTAAAGTTCAATTTACAGAGAAAAATATACAATTGTTTACGGTAAATTACATCTAATTGAAAATGAAACCAGTTTTTTTTTGTTTTTTTTTACATGCAGGCTGTGTCAACCAGAGCCAGGGGAGCTGTGACAAGGGCTGCATAAACAGAAACAGAGTGATTTAACTCCTAAATGGCAGTGAAACCTGAGCAGCATGATCTATACACTAAAACTGCTTCATTAAGCTCAAGTTGTTTAGGTGACTATAGTGTTCACATTCCACATTCCGTTCTCTATGGCAGTGGATTACAGCTGGGTCCTAAAGGACAGACCATGCTTTGTCAGTATGCCCAGTGGGAAGAAAATGAATACATGCTGAAATCCTGGACAGTTGTTGTTCCTTGAGTACTGGGCTGGGAACTTCCCTATATTATGAGACATAGAAAGTAATATGCTTTTTAGAATGTTCTCCCAATTACTTTATTAATAATAATGATATTCATTTAATTCCAAATTATTTAGTTCTTGGGTAGATTATTTTTTCTTGTTTGTGGGTTGCAGCATAGAGATATTCATATCCTGCAATGATGCATTTCCTCAAATTGTCTACCCGTGAGCTGGGTGCATAATGCTTAAAGGTAGTGGATTATTTAGCAAAGGTAACCTGAATTGACATTTAAACAAGAAGCAAACTTAGTTTAAAAGGACACTCCAAGGATATTGAAACGGTTATGTTACATATATAATAATTATGTGGGTAAGCAGGATTCAGCTTCACACAATTGCCATTTACACTTTTCAATACAAATAATTAACACAAGCTCACATGGAGATAGACTATTGGTTTGGCTATGCCAAGCAAAGGGTTAACAGCTCAGAGCAGGTGAATCCGGTTTGCTACAAAACATATCTTGGATGAATAATCCAAACAGGAAGTGGCTGAATCCTCCTAAATCCCAGTGCTCACTCCCTCTAATTGCGCAGTGTATGCATGTTGTGCTAATGCACTACAAGTGCTTGTTACATCCTGAGCTGGGGTGGGATTTGGAGGCCAGCGAATTCCCAATGTGTTATTAAATGGTTTTAAAATGTTTTTGGAAAAGCAAGGTGGTATTTCATATCTGTAGTTGGTTTGCAACCACTACACTTTGAAGTGGTTATGGTACTTAAAATTAGCAGATAGACTTGCATTCTACATTTAAAAGAAATGTATATCAAACGTAAGACGTCAAAGACTGATGTGGAATCAATCAATCAATTGATTATCTTGCGTATCTGCCCCTGGCCAAATTTAAAAAGATGCGTGCACGCTCCTGAAGTAATTCACACCAGACACAGGTTTCGGGTTAATGAAAAACTTGAGGAATGTTTATTCTGGGGGGACTGCATTCCCCTTATAAAGCAAAATTACATCATATGCATTGTCAGAGATAACATTGAATAATACATCAATAATTGGTTAGCTGTTAAGTGGTTCATTTAGTGCTCTTCCTACCGGGTGTGATGTGACTGGTATCTTGGAGGTCTCCCCCAGATTCCAGCGCCATCTTGTTAATGAGGGTGTTAGTTGATGTCAAAGGGAAACTCCCTAGCGGCCATTTTAGGTACATCACATATAAGGTTGAATAATGCTGATTGTGGTTATACTGAGTAAATAGGCATTTTACCAACATGGATTGGGTTAATATCTTTGTCCACAACAGTCCCCCCTTAAAATGACTATTTACTAAAGAGACAACTACTAACTGACCCTAACAATGTCCCTACTTGGCTGCTGCTCATCTGTCTGAACAAGCCTTGAACGCTTCACTGCGCGGGTATCCCGTAGTGGCTAACCCACTACATCTCCCGCGTCAGACTCCTACCCGTGGAACAGACGCTGTACATATGCTGTCCCTATAAAGAAGTAGTTGTCCTTTTGAGGTGGTGGGACTGAAGAAGTGTGTGCGGGGTGTCACAGTCTATATCGTCAATATCTTGATGTAGGAATGTAGGTGTGGTGCGGTCAATGGTCTGATCTACAGTCTTTTGTAAGTACCTTTCCACCCACGGCATCACGCAGCAAACCAGGAAGAGGAGGAGAATCACTACTGTAAGAACTGCCATACCTACTTGAAAGAGAACTCTCTGCCATCCACTCATCCATCCCAACCATCTGTCCCATGAATTGGAGTCCCCTGAGTTCTTTTTTTAATTCGTCAGAGAGACTTTCTAATTTCTCTATGGCTATGGTTACTTTACCATTGGGGCCTGTATTATCTGGAATGAAGGTCCAGCATGTCATAGTGTTGGGGAGTATTTTACACACACCCCCCTTTTCTGCTAGGATCATATCTAAAGCCATTCGATTCTAGAATGTCATTTGGGAGGTAGCCTGCAATTGTTCTGCCAAGCCTTGAAGGGTATAAATGACAAAACGTTGCTGATTATAATAGATATAATTAATCCAGTTAACATTCTTGTTAGCGGTGATGAGTGGGATCAAGGATTCGAATCCTGCAGCAACCTCATCTCTGGTCTTGAACTCGTTTGATACCCCCCTTGGTACACCTATGGCATCAATATATATATGTGGGTCGAAACTACCTTGAATAGGGGTTTCTCTTTTTATCCTGAAGTACGTGTGTCGGGGACCAAGTGGGCCTTGGTGGTTATCAGAAATTATATGTATAGGCATGATGGCTTTGGTCAGAGTGCATTCTCCCCACTACAGGCCAGTCATTTTAGATCTGAGTTGCATATCACCACATAGCCAATAAATGTCTCCCAAGGACTTGACTTGATTTACCAATAAGGTAGTGGGAGGTTTCCGATAGGTGGCACAGTAGCCGGGAGGGAAACTACCCACAAATTTACCCGTGGTTCTGTGTATAGTGTAGCAAGTGTAATTACCTGGATACACGGTGATTCCATCAGGTGGCCTGAGATTCCCTTGAGTTATTGGATATACAGGGAGTGCAGAATTATTAGGCAAGTTGTATTTTTGAGGATTAATTTTATTATTGAACAACAACCATGTTCTCAATGAACCCAAAAAACTCATTAATATCAAAGCTGAATATTTTTTGGAAGTAGTTTTTAGTTTGTTTTTAGTTATAGCTATGTTAGGGGGATATCTGTGTGTGCAGGTGACTATTACTGTGCATAATTATTAGGCAACTTAACAAAAAACAAATATATACCCATTTCAATTATTTATTATTACCAGTGAAACCAATATAACATCTCAACATTCACAAATATACATTTCTGACATTCAAAAACAAAACAAAAACAAATCAGTGACCAATATAGCCACCTTTCTTTGCAAGGACACTCAAAAGCCTGCCATCCATGGATTCTGTCAGTGTTTTGATCTGTTCACCATCAACATTGCGTGCAGCAGCAACCACAGCCTCCCAGACACTGTTCAGAGGTGTACTGTTTTCCCTCCTTGTAAATCTCACATTTGATGATGGACCACAGGTTCTCAATGGGGTTCAGATCAGGTGAACAAGGAGGCCATGTCATTAGATTTTCTTCTTTTATACCCTTTCTTGCCAGCCACGCTGTGGAGTACTTGGACGCGTGTGATGGAGCATTGTCCTGCATGAAAATCATGTTTTTCTTGAAGGATGCAGACTTCTTCCTGTACCACTGCTTGAAGAAGGTGTCTTCCAGGAACTGGCAGTAGGACTGGGAGTTGAGCTTGACTCCATCCTCAACCCGAAAAGGCCCCACAAGCTCATCTTTGATGATACCAGCCCAAACCAGTACTCCACCTCCACCTTGCTGGCGTCTGAGTCGGACTGGAGCTCTCTGCCCTTTACCAATCCAGCCACGGGCCCATCCATCTGGCCCATCAAGACTCACTCTCATTTCATCAGTCCATAAAACCTTAGAAAAATCAGTCTTGAGATATTTCTTGGCCCAGTCTTGGCGTTTCAGCTTGTGTGTCTTGTTCAGTGGTGGTCGTCTTTCAGCCTTTCTTACCTTGGCCATGTCTCTGAGTATTGCACACCTTGTGCTTTTGGGCACTCCAGTGATGTTGCAGCTCTGAAATATGGCCAAACTGGTGGCAAGTGGCATCATGGCAGCTGCAAGCTTGACTTTTCTCAGTTTATGGGCAGTTATTTTGCGCCTTGGTTTTTCCACACGCTTCTTGCGACCCTGTTGACTATTTTGAATGAAACGCTTGATTGTTCGATGATCACGCTTCAGAAGCTTTGCAATTTTAAGAGTGCTGCATCCCTATGCAAGATATCTCACTATTTTTGACTTTTCTGGGCCTGTCAAGTCCTTCTTTTGACCCATTTTGCCAAAGGAAAGGAAGTTGCCTAATAATTATGCACACCTGATATGGGGTGTTGATGTCATTAGACCACACCCCTTCTCATTACAGAGATGCACATCACCTAATATGCTTAATTGGTGGTAGGCTTTCGAGCCTATACAGCTTGGAGTAAGACAACATGCATAAAGAGGATGATGTGGTCAAAATACTCATTTGCCTAATAATTCTGCACTCCCTGTACCTGTTTCCATGATTCACATACTGATGAGTTTGTGGCTGATTGTACATAGAGGCTTAGAAAAACACATTAAAAGGCACTGTACCCAGATGGGGTCTGGCCCTGCCACAGAAATAACAGTTAGTTTTATTTTGTGAATTAGCATTATACCTCATCCACTAAAGCCATAGGTTGGTATCTGAAAAACCGGTCTCCACAGCCATAGTGTCCTCGAATGTAGGATTGGCAATTGCCACCATGTCCTTAAGAGTTTTACTGTGTGGTTTTAGAAGGTTAGTGATCATGTGTGTAGCGTCTACCCAGTCAGGTGATGTATGCATGTCTTGTAAATAGAAGGTCCCCAACTTGTTATATGAGCCACCCACTCTCTCCAGTACATCCCCATTACTTACTCTCCAGTGTCTCCTGGCCTGGGATGTTCTATGTTTAAGGTGAGTTTAATTGGGGTAGACCTTGTTGGCTTACATAAGGTCATTCTGTGTAATAAGGGTTTCCCATGTCTGTCTACCCTAGCCAAGGCGCTTTGTGGTCTGTAGCCCCATGGTCGGCCTATGTTCCAACCTGCTGCTTTCCAGGTACTACAATGATGTCCCCAATGGTCACCTGTCACACAAATGTATGGGTCCTTTCTATTGGGTAGGTCTTTGTATATTGCTGAGTGTTGTGATTGTGGAAAAGTACAAGGAACAATATTCCAGTAATCAAAGGTAAAAGTAGCTACATGTGTGTTTGAAGAGTTATACCAGAATGTGTAAACACGATTATCTTTGGTGATAGCAACTTGTTGGGCCTTTAATAGGCCTAGCAGCAGAAATAGACACAGGAAGCTCATAGTTTAGCGGGATCTGCTTCCTCTGGATCAAGAACTTTCTTACAGTGCGAGGCGTGTATCCAGGTATTCTTCCCAGTCAATTTTACCGAGGTAGACGTGGTCAATAGGACTTGGAATTGACCATCAAACCTTGGCTCAAGAGTGTGCTTTCTCAGGAATTTCTTGACCATTACCCAGTCACCAGGAAGGAGTTTATGTGTGCCTGTGTTTGATTCTGGATCTGGAATAGAAGAAAACACCTGTGCATGGATTTTGGTCAAGGCATGAGAGAGTGCAGTTATATAATCTACCATTGCGTCTGACTGAATTTGAAGTTGTTGAGGAAAATAACAGCCTAGCCTGGGTGCTGTACCAAATAAAATCTCGTAGGGGGATAAGCTAAATCTCCCTCTTGGAGTGTACCTTACACTAAATAGTGCTATGGGAAGACTTTCCGGCCAGGGTAGGTTAGTTTCTTGGGCCATCTTAAGCATTCTGGCTTTCAAGGTGCCATTCATGTGTTCTACCTTACCACTACTCTGTGGGTGATAGGGTGTGTGGAATGCAAGGGTCACCCCCAGTGCTGCCCAGATTTCCTTGGTTAGCAACGAGGTGAAGGATGTTCCCTGGTCACTTTCAATCACCTCAGGAACTCCATATATGCAGATGATTTCGGCAAGTAGGCGCTTTGCTGTGGTCTTAGCAGTGAGATTAGTGACAGGAAAAGCTTCTGGCCATCCTGAAAACATATCCACTATGACCAGTGCATATTCATACCGGCCACTTTTTGGCATTTGGATATGATCAATTTGGATCCTTTGGAAAGGGTACTGTGGCTTGGCCAAATGGTTTGGTGCAGCTATAATAATTTTTTCCGGATTACATCTGGCGCAGATAGTACAGGATCTGCAGTTATTTATCAATTAGGGAGTTCATGAGGTGCTTGGATAAATGGGCTGGTCCATGGGCCCACTGAACGACAGCTGGGTAGACATAATTTGAGGTTGATTGTGTACACTTCATTCTGGAGGGTTGCCCCTTTATCTTTCCAACTTTGTTTTTCCTGAGGGGTGGCAGCGGCCTGTTGTTCTCTCAGGAACTTGAGATTGGTAGGTAGGGTTTGCATAATGTAAATAGGAGTCTGTTCAACGGGCACTCTTCTGTCCACATCCCGACACTGGCGTGCCGCATCTTTAACGTAATTAAGTAATTGCCTCATGCTTCTTCTGAATTCAATCTCCCGTGGGCCTTTACCTTCAATATGGTCACCTATTCAGGGAGCAATAAGGCATCCATTAATTCGTTGATAGCTGCGCCGTGTTTCCCCTGGAGTACCTGCTGCCGTAAGAAACCCCCTTGTTTTCCAGATTAAGCCAAAATCTGGCGCTACGCCCAGGGCATACCTTGAGTCTGTATAGATATTAACACGCTTCCCTTCAGACATCTTACATGCTGCTGTAAGGGCTATTAGTTCGGCTTCTTGTGCTGACAGATGACGGAAGTGAAGATGTTTGGAGTACTCGGTCTTCTGTGGTGACAGCATATCCGGTATGATATTGTCCCTGTACGTCGGCAAATCTAGAACCATCCACAAACAGAGTGAAGTCAGGATCTGGCAGAGCAGCCTCGTGCACCGTTGGGAGATGGGTTGTCTCCATTTTCATCTGTTCAAAACAGTCATGAGGGGCAAAATATAAATGTGATACCTCCATGGGCAGGTAGACCAAGATAACTATTTCCTCTGGAGTCACAGAACAGGTCTGTCAGGGTGATGCGTATTTCCACCAGGCTAAATAATTCTTCTTCATAGTATGGGTCAGGACCTGGGGTATTCCTGAACCACAGGGTGCAATGTAAGTAGCCCTCGGGTTGTTGGTCATGTGGAACCATGGGCTTTTTCACTTGAAGATCCATATGAACATCAGGATTTATGTCTGGACTGTACAAGTATTGTGGTACTCCCCCCTTGGGAAGTGGTAGAAGAGTGGCCGGGTTCAAAGAGTAACATCTTTGTAGAGTGACGTTATCAGGCAAGAGGAGGGAGGTTTGAAGGCGGAGGTGTCTCTGGGAGGAGAGATGTTTCGGTTGGACTTGATTCAGGATGGCCATGATATCATGGGGAGCAAGGACAGTGAGTTCATGTCCGAGAACAAAGTCATTAGTTTTGCCAAGCAGGGCACTGGCAGCAAACACAGCTACGGGGTCCAGCATGCATGAAAAATAACCAATAGGGCGTTGACGAGAACCATGTGATTGTGTAAGGACCCCTGAAGCATGGCCCATCTTTTCAGAGACAAAAAGTTTGAATGGTTGCTGATAGTTAGGTAGGCCCAAAGCTGGGGCAGAGGAGATGACCCTTTGAAGGGCATAGTAGCAGGAGCGAGCTGTTAAAGACAATGAAAATGTCTTCAGTCTTCAAGGCATCATAGAGAGGTTGCATGAGCTGAGAAGGCTCAGGGATCCAAGACCTGCAGTATGTGATGAGGCCCAAGAAGGCATGAAGACCTTGGTGAGTAGATGGGAGAGAGAGATTGGTAATAGCAAGTACTCTGTTCTTTGTTAGGTGACGGGTGCCCTGGGAAAGGCCACAGAAGACCACAGAGGGCCGGCACCACTGAAGTTTCGTTCTGGAGGCTGTACATCCTTCTTCAGCGAGGAAACAAAGGAGATCTTTAGAATTTTGTTCAGCAGTCGGAAGATCATCCACATACTGGAGCAGGACCACATCAGGGTGAGACTTCTGCGAAGGTTCTAAGACAGTTGACTGCTTTGGTTAATTGAGTAGGGGAATTTTGTGCACCTTGAGGCATGACAGTCCAAGTGTACTGTTGGCGATCATGTGTGAAAGCAAACAGATATTGGCAAGAGGGATCCAAGGGCACGTTGAAAACGGCGTTTGCAAGATCAACCACAGTGAAGAATTTAGCTGTTGGAGGGACTTTTGACAACAGTGTATGTGGATTCGGGACAACAGCAGTGTCTCGGTTGGTGACATCATTAAAAGCGCGGAGGTCTTCGTGGTGGATTAGCTCCCTTTAGTAGCGTGACAACCACGGGTGGGACTCTTAGGCGTCCAATGTCATCTGGGCCTGTAGACCAGAGTTTGGTTGGGACCCTCTCCAGGGCACTGGGGGCATCTGGGACCCTTACCTCCTCGGAGGGGGAAGTCATGTGTAACAGTAGGGTCAAAGAGCAAAGAATAGGAGTATCTTTGCGAGAAAGGGGGGTTAATAATTGAACCTGGCCATCAGCGGTGAAGGAGATAGAAGCTTGAAGACGGGACAGAACATCAGCACCTAATAGGTTAATTGGACAAGTAGAAGAGACAACAAACCGTGAGAGAATGTCTGAACCCACCCGCAAGAGCTTAGTTAATGGGTTGTTTCCAGAATGCTTGGTTGTATAGGGAGAGGTATTAGCAGTAGAAAGAGGCAAGTGCTCATGCCATTGTACAGAACACTGGTGAGACCTCACTTGGAGTATTGTACACAGTACTGGAGACGTATCTTCAGAAGGATATTGATACCTTAGAGAGGGTTCAGAGAAGGACTACTAAACTGGTTCATGGATTGCAGGATAAAACTTACCAGGAAAGGTTAAAGGATCTTAACATGTATAGCTTGGAGGAAAGACGAGACAGGGGGGATATGATAGAAACATTTAAATATATAAAGGGAATCAACACAGTAAAGGAGGAGACTATATTTAAAAAGAAGAAAAACTACCACAACAAGAGGACATAGTCTTAAATTAGAGGGACAAAGGTTTAAAAATAATATCAGGAAGTATTATTTTACTGAGAGGGTAGTGGATGCATGGAATAGCCTTCCAGCTGAAGTGGTAGAGGTTAACACAGTAAAGGAGTTTAAGCATGCATGGGATAGGCATAAGGCTATCCTAACTATAAGGAAGTAATGAAAGTATTAAGAAAATTGGGCAGACTAGATGGGCCGAATGGTTCTTATCTGCCGTCACATTCTATGTTTCTAGGGATACCATTGACACCTACACAAGAGACATCTGTGTCGGATAGGTAAGATGAGTCAGGCAGGTCTTGTTCTCTGAGAACACTGCGGGCTGCACCTGTGTCAACTAAAAAGGTAGTAGGATGACCCCCTACGGGTAGGACTACTGTAGCGAGAAGCCCCCCTTTGTCCCCTGTAGACACTGCCATGACAAGGGTGTTAGACACAGGTTTGCCAGTTACCTATTGTAAGATGTCTAGATGAGATTGATCAGGGCCAGTGTAGTGACATGTGGGTGCGGTGGAGCGACTGGTCTGCTGAGTCTGGCGTGTAGGGCGATGTTGACTGGGTACAGGACGGTCATCTTGTTGATAATCATCTGTATCATAATTATCAGGGGAATTGTGAACATAGCTGCGGTGTGGAGGGTGATCATCAGCTTGAGGGGGCTGACAGGCAGCTTGGGTATATTCCATGAGGAGGGTAATACGAAGTATGTGCCTGAGGATATACCTGTGGAGGGTAACCTGGCTGGAGGCAACCATGTGTGATTGCAGGGGCATTGGGGTACATAGGATAGTTGAACACAGGATTAGGTGGTCTAGTGGTTGGCTGTTGTTGTCTAGGCACTCTGGGGTGTGGAAATCTTTCCTGAAATGACCTAATTGGTTACAATTAAACCAAGCCCTAGTCTGAGGCCTAGGTGTGTGTGTATGGTGTTTTACCTGTGTAGCTGGCACGGGATACCCTGCGGGTGCTGGGGCAGGTCTGGTAGTAGGACTATAAAAGGAAAACAAAAGGGGATTACTTTTCCTTTGGGGTGGCTGGAGTGCAGATTCTAGGCCTTTAGCAACCAGGTCATGTCAAACTAACTTGATTGCGTTCTACAAAGAAGTAAGTAGAAGTATAGATCAGGGTGTTGCCGTGGATGTGATCTATTTGGATTTTGCCAAGGCATTTGATACAGTTCCACACAATAGATTAGTGTTCAAACTCAAGGAAATCGGTCTAGATGAAAATGCTTGTTCTTGGGTAGAACATTGGCTTAAAAACAGAGTACAAGAGTTGTCATTAATGGTAAATTTTCAAGCTGGACAGAGGTGGCAAGTGGTGTCCCTCAGGGGTCTGTTCTGGGACCCCTTCTATTTAACATGTTTATAAATTATCTTGAAGACCGCATTGAAAGTCATGTTTCAGTGTTTGCAGATGACACCAAACTTTGTAAAACAATACAATGTGAGCAAGATATTACTTTGCTGCAGAGGGACTTAGATAGACTGGGGGACAAATGGCAGATGAAATGTAATGTTGAAAAATGCAAAGTTATGCACTTCGGCATAAAGAATACACAAGCAACGTATACCCTTAATGGAAGCGAAGTAGGGATAACAACACATGAAAAGGACTTGGGAATTGTTATAGACAACAAGCTATGCAACAATGTGCAATGTCAATCAGCAGTGGCCAAGGCCAGTAAGGTATTGTCATGCATGAAAAAGGGCATTCATTCTCGGGACAAGAATATCATTTTGCCTCTTTATAAATCACTGGTAAGACCCCATATTGAATATGCTGTGCAATTTTGGGCACCTGTTCTAAAGAAGGATATTATGGCACTAGAAAAAGTGCAGAGGCGGGCTACAAAATTAATAAAAGGAATGGAACATATCGGCTATGAAGAAAGGTTAACAAATTTAAACCTATTTAGTTTAGAAAAACGTCGCCTGAGAGGGGATATGATAACATTATACAAATATATTCGGGGCCAATACAAACCATTGTGTGGAAATCTATTCACAAACCGGACTTTACATAGGACACGAGGCCATGCAGTTTAGACTGGAAGAAAGAAGATTTCGTCTAAGGCAAAGGAAAGGTTTTTTTACTGTAAGAACAATCAGGATGTGGAATTCTCTGCCTGAGGAAGTGGTTTTATCAGAGTCCATACAGATGTTCAAACGGCTACTAGATGCATACTTGCAAGAACAGAATATTCAAGGATATAATCTTTCAATGTAGGGTAATAACTGCTTGATCCAAGGATAAATCTGACTGCCATTCTGCGGTCAAGAATTAATTTTTTTCCTAGTTTGTTGCAAAATTGTGCTTCAAACTGGGGTTTTTTTGCCTTCTTTTGGATCAACAGCAAAAAACAAATGTGAGGTAGGATGAACTTGATGGACGCAAGTCTCTTTTCAGCTATGTAACTATGTAACTATGTAACCAAAAGGAGAGAGTCTAGAGGAATAATCCTATATTCAGGGCAGGAAAGCACTAAGCCTTTCCTGATGGCTTCCTTAAGGCCCGCAACAAAGGCCGCTGATAACATTTGGGTATGCGCCTTATTGTATACACTGAATCCTAGATCAGAGAAAGTTTGAGTCAATAGGGAATGGTACTTCTCCACATACTCAAGTTTATCTTGTATAATATCATTTATACAAGTGGCTTGGTCTGCTAGTTTATCCTGGGCCCAGGCCCGAAGCTGTTCACAGAATGTGATACCCGACTGAAAATCCATATCAGTAGTGAGGAGAGCGTCATTAAAACTCCTTTCCATAATGGGCCAATAGGCATCCCCAGCTTTCATCTCACACAGACTAAACAGATCGCGCCAGGCAGCTGAGTATGTCTTGCAAATCTGGGCAACCCTACGAAAGAAGGGCATGGGGTGTTTCTCAGGGTCGGGGAGGGAGGTTACTAGGGTTGCGTCTTGGGATGGGTTGAAAGTAACATGCATTGGGGGAGCCCCTTCCCCAGTTGATAAGGTGTGGATGTGATTGGCCAGGGTAGCCTGTCTCTGGGAAACCCTATAATTTGCAGGGCAGAATGGGCTGAGCCTTTGCACGTTGTCATCCTCGGGGGGAATCGGGAATGGGAGACCGTGGTAGCTGGCGGCATCCCATCGAGAATGATATTAGGGTTAAAATATATATATATATATATATATATATGAAGTTTATGAAAAGGAGAGACAGCGCTAATTAATAAACAGGCAGCAACCTTAAAAAGGGAAACCCTCCAAGCCCTTTTAAAACAAGACAATAAAAACAACAATAAAAAGGCTGCGCCAATAAGAGAATAAAATAGAGTAACTAAAAGTAAAAATGTCCAACGGAATAAGTAAATGCCAAAATAAAAGTTCAACTTAAGTGTCCTTGCGGATAGTCTTTATAGCGAGTGATGCAGTAGTGAAGTCTTCATAAGCTGTATAGGTTCCACTCATTATAGAAGACAAAAAAGGAGAGAGAAGGACGACCATTAGTGCAGTATTGTATAATTCCAAAAGTGACGTATAGAAAGATAATATTAGAGAACTCACATTTAATAGAGCTTATGTCCAGCTCTAGGATAAAAGCGCATACAGCGGTATGATCCCCGCTTATGGGATATCCTTTGGGTTTCTCTCCGTCAGTGGTGTCCAATTCTCAAACAAGATAAAAGAGAGACAACCGATAGTGCTCACTATTTTAGTGGTCTTAATATAAGTAGATAAAAACGTACTTACAAAAGAGGAGCAGACCGACTGCTCTTGTGTATCAGCATAGGTGGATTGATCCCAACCTTTAGGATTTCTTGGGATGCAGGAGACTTCCGAAGTAGATGTTGGTATATAATAGTAAAATACTAAAAATATACTAAAATATATTAAAAATATATTAAAAAGCCAGGTATAAAAGGAAAAAAGTAATGTGTATATGATGTAGAATTATTAAAATCTTTACTGAACTTGTATTGAATAATTGTACTAACTCAATTTTTAATCTCACACTGTGACAGAACTCTCCATTTTGTTCACCTTACATGACAGTATTCAATATAATGAATAAGAGATTGTATTTTCTCTCTCTAAGGACATAACTAGCCCCGGAGTTAGCGGATCTCCGTTGACTTGCAACATAGTATAATCCAAGGCCAGGAGAACAGCGACTAAATGAAATGTTCTATTCATAAAAGAACCTTGGACCAGACCACGAGACTGACATCACTAACTACGTAAAATGATGCCCAAGCCCCCCCTTTCCACCGAGTAAGCCTCGTGCTAAAGAGCAATGACATCCCATGATGGGAGGGTGCCTCACTAGTCACTCAAATCTCTGAGCCAATTAATAATATTAATGGGTGGACACTGACATAGCCACTTAACATTTAACCCAATTAATGATGTTTATTTGTTATTATCTGATATTCAATGATGATGTCATTTTGCATATAAAAAGGCCTGCGTGCCCGCTTTTTAACTAGATGCTAATACATTTCCTGAAGTGTTTTTAACCTGAACTGCATGTGTCAGTGTGAACTTACTTCTGCGTATACGCAATTTATTCATCTCAGATTTGGACAGGAACAGATAGACTTTTAAACATTTTTGTTTATTTCTAAATTAATCTACATCAATCTGGCGTCCATCCAACGTGGGGCATCGGGCTATGGCCTCCGGCCGGTAAGCCGTCCTAAGGAAGACGCTGTTGGACGGAGGAATCGGGGGGGAAGGAAGAGAGACTGATCACCTCTGAGTACACGGTAGAGACTTCTGCAGGAGCCACCGGTATGTTCCAGCCCCTTTGATTGACCCGTCCACGTGTCTGTGACTGCTTCCCGGGAGGGCATCAAAGACAGGTAATATCTTGCCCGGTGTCTTGTTACCCATTTGTTTACCTGCATTTAGTCTATCTGTTGCCTGGGTGTGCTAGTGGTATATGTTTTGTTCTTTCCCTCTTTTGGGATAAAGGGGGGTGGACCCGTGGGTGGTTGCCTGGGGGTCTTCTGTTGCCTGTTTTTACCCCTTTTTAGGAGTCACTTGGCCCAGACTGTTGGGAAAAAAGGGGGGGTGGACCTGTGGGGATTTTCCAAAGGGGTCCTGTCTTCCTGTTTACTTCTTTTAGGTACTGTCTAGCTAACAGTAGTAAGGAAAAAGAAGGGTTGGGGGATCTGTGGAGGGGACTTGCCTCCTGGGGTTTCCCGGTTACGTCACTTTGATATTCTAGCTAGCCTCATTGTGTACGTTGCTCTGCTTGCAGAGGTTATGGTACCCTCCAGCTTCGAGCGCTGAGGCTGGTGGCATTCCAATTTATTTGTGGTGTGTGGATTCGGGCAGGCATTGTTGTCTCCATCACCACGGGGTAGTGTGACTTGTGGGTGGGTCCATAGGGAGCACTACGGGAGTGAGGATAGAGGTGGCCACACTTAGTGGACTGCTGTAACGAGGGAGGCATATGGATTTCGGACCGGTGTTAGTCGTTATCCTTGGCCGCTGGTAGTGAAACTTACGAAAGTTGTTCTCCGAGCGGGGACACTACGAGATTGAGGGAGGTGGCCTTGGTGGCCACAAGAGTAAAGGAAAGGGATTACTGTTGATGCATGCACTGTATTTCAATTGAAATGTTGTATTAAATGTTGTTTTAAGTGTGGAGTCATTCAAACTCCTGGGTCTGTCTCTACTTTCACTGTTTACTTTTCCTCTACTTCCTGTACTATTTACACTATCCACTCCTATTTCTCTTGTAAGGGAAGTGATTGGTCACACACTTCTCACCCCGCTCCAATCCGTGGCTACCACCGAGGGTACACGGATTCAGTGACTGGTCTACGTTTTGGGAAGACGCACTGGGAGGGACCCACCCTTCCTAGTGGCAGTCGAGCATTGTAGACGTTCTGTTTCATTTTCCTTTACCTATACTTGGGACGCTCTGTATAGGGGGATATGGGACAGGAAGTGAGTAAGCCCAGTAGGGGCTGGCTCGCGTGTGATTTAGTTGAAGATAGAGAAGGTGAAGAGATGATTAAAAATGTTGCAAAGATTGCTAAAGTGTGTAAAATTGCTGTGCCTTCATGTGGTAGATTACAGCCAGAAAGCTGGCGTAGATTACTGACAGAGAAGAAAGGCAAGCTTACAGATAATGATTTATTACGTACTGCTGAAGCATGGTACAGAGTAGCAAAGGCTATCCAGCAGGAGGGTTGGGTAGAGGAAGAGATAAATCATAAAGGTGTAAGACTGTATGTGTATCATAAGAATTGTGTTACTGGGGCATCCTCTCAGCCAACACCCCAAGATGGTGCCCAGGGGATGTCTATTCCCAAGGTTCGGTCAGCAAAAGGCGACAGCCAGCTGACCATGTTCTCCACTCCCGAACCTCCCGTCACCCATCCCGTCACCTCCCCTGTCTGCCCAGTCCTGAATTCTGACGGATCCTTTTTCTCCCCTCCATCATCCCTAACACTCCCATCATCCCCATCCATCCCTGCATTGCCTTCTGTGACTAATCTGCCTAGTCTAAATGTTTCATCCACCATTTCTTCTCAACACTCACTCTCCGTTGCTAACCCTCCTACCCCATCTTCTTCCACCCAGTTAGCTAACCCCTCCTCCCTTGCTATTGCCAATCCTACTGCACCCACTTCAGCTACTCCTCCTACACCCGTCTCCACTAATCCCGCTCCGTCTTCCCCGTTACTCACTCCTCCCACAGCCCAAGTCCCCACTCCCCCCCTAATCCTTACTCAGCTATTATGCCCTCCCTTGGTTCCGCCCTAGCCCCTGCCCAGTTTCCCTGGCCATACCCCTTACCATACCCAATGTCCTCGCCCTACCCAAATTATCCCTACCCCTTTTTCCAAGCCACTCCCCAGACACCGGTCATGCCCAGTCCGGCCCAGTCTGCCCCGGATGTGCCCACATCCAATATGGCCGCCACTTCTTCCCTTAACCCTAACGCAGCCCCTTTCCACGCCTCCAATATGGCGGCCCCCAGTCATTCAGCACCCCTGATGCCGGTACTTCCCGGTGACTACTCACCACAGGCTCATAACCTACCCGCCACCCCAGCATCTGGGAATCCCTCATTTCCCCCGGTTCTGACACCTCAGGTTATCCCATCACGTAGAAGGGCCCAAACCACAGATGAGGATGAGAATGATGAGGGTTCCCAGGGCTCACTAGAGGTTGTAGAGTCACAGCCCCACCGTTCCATAGATGATCCTTTCGGGCATGCGGGTCGGGGAAATAGGGGGGACCAGGCCCCTCCTAAATATGTTGCTTTCAATCCAACGCAAGCTAGTGCTTTAATAAAATCGCTCCCTGACCCAGAAAAGCAACCTATGCCTTTTTACCAAGGGATAGTTCAGATTCAAAAGACTTATTCCGCAGCATGGCGTGATTTACTAAGCATTTGTGCAATCAAGGCCGGGGATGCATATTGGCCCAGCATGTCCCGACACCTCAATGCCGATTTACTGACAAGTGACACTGATTACCCCTCCGGAGTAACTTTTTGCAGCCAGGTAAAGGAGTGGGCAAAAGACAAACTTGCAGATCAGGCTGCCGGCATTACTGATGTTATACAAGAGAAAGGAGAATCAGTGGAAAGATTTCATGCAAGACTGTTTCAAATGTTTACAGATTTGGGCTTTGATCGTACCGACAAGATTCATTCACAAATGCTGTCAGGTGCATTTGTCCAAGGTGTAAAGGATTATATTCGTAAGGGAATCATTGCTGCACGCCCTGAATATAAGGTAGTCTCTCTGGATACCCTACTTTTAGTTGCCAGGGGTCTAGAGTCTGCACAGGCTCCCAAAAAACAGACTTCGGTTTCTTCCTCAGCCCCTCT